CTCAAGGTACAAGGCATCAAATATATTTACGATATGAAACTTCCAGATGAAGTTGAGGCAATGCAGATCTTATGCCAATATGCTTTCGTTCAAAAGTCTCTAGATTATGGTCCTGCATCTAGAATTGCCAGAGCTTTGCACAACCAATCCTATCTTTATAACAGAGGATTTGAGATCTTCTGCCAATATGCTTTCGATCAAAAGTCTTTAGACTATGGTCCTGAGAAGAGAACTGTCAAAGCTTTGCACGAGCAATTCTATCTTGATATCAGAACAAGTAGTGAGATGTCTTCTCTCCTTGGCTCCGATTATAAATATCAGTTGGATTATCTGTATGAATTTTATAAGCTTGCTCGGGAAGTAACTAAACTTGCTGGTCGTCTTCCTCTGGCTCTGAGAGTCTTGGGATCGTCTCTACGAGGAATGTCCAGAGATGAGTGGAGAAGTGCAGTACCAAGGCTCAAGTCTTGCCTTGACGAAGGAATTGAATCAATTCTAATGTTTGGCTACAAAGGCTTACGTGATGATAAAGACAGAGATCTTTTTCTGTATATTGCATGTTTCTTTGTTGGTTTCAAGGTTAATCGCGTTAAAAGTTTGCTTGAAGATTGTGATTTACAAGTCGACCATGGGCTTCATAACTTAGAGCAGAAAAGTCTCATATACACAGAATACGGAAGCTTAAAGATGCACACATTACTGCAACAAATGGGTAGAGATATCGTCAAGAAAAAGACGAAGAAGATTGGAGAGCGACAGTTCTTGATGGATACCAAGGATATTGCTGAATTACTTGAAGATGAAGATACTGTAAGTTTCTTTGTATACATCTCTAGTCTTCTTCTGTCTGTCTCCTTGGTTTTCTTAAGCTGAGGTTAACTTCTTTTCTGAATAATATATTCTAGGGTACTGATGAAATTCTAGGCATAAAGCTAGTACAATATCGGAGAAACGAGAAAATCAACATAAGTAAAAGTGCCTTCCAAAGGATGAAGAATCTCCAGCTTCTGGGAGTCAACTCTAATAAAGTACGCATACCCGAAGAAGGCCTCAGCTGTCTTCCTGACAAACTCAGACTTCTAGAGTGGAATTACTATCCGTTTACATGTTTGCCTTCTAAGTTCTCTTGCAAGTATCTTGTCGAACTTATCGTGACAGAAAGCAAACTTGAGAAGCTTTGGGATGGAATCAAAGTAAAAGAATAGTCAGCACTTTTTCTTGTATTGTATTGGGTGTAAAGCACGATTAGTCATTTCTCTAAAGCTTTATCTCTTTTTTTTTGTATAGCCTCTCCAACGACTTAAGCGGATGGTTTTGAGGGAGTCACGGTATCTGAAAGAGATTCCAGATCTCACAAATGCAACGAGTCTCGAGGAATTAGATCTCGACGAGTGCAAAAGTTTGTTAGAGCTCACAAGCACGGTTGGCAATGCCACGAAGCTTAAATGGTGCACACTTGAGGGTTGCTATCTTTTGAAGGAGCTCCCCTCTTCTATGGGCAAGTTAATCAATCTCGAGGAATTGGATCTCAGTCAGTGCACGGGTTTGAAAGAACTCCGTGGTTGCTTGAATCTAGAAAAACTCAGTGGTTGCTCGAGTTTGAAAACACTCGATCTGAGTGATACTTCGATATGGGAAGTGCCATCATCAATCAGATCTGATTTGGCTCATATTAATAAATTGGATATGTCTGGGTGTAGAAACCTCAAGGAGTTCCCAAATGTTTCTGACAGCATTGAAGAGTTGAATTTATCCAAGACAAGGATAGAGGAAATTCCTCCATGGATTGAGAATCTGTCTCGTCTGCGTGAACTATATATGTTTGAATGCAAGAAGCTGAAAAAGATATCTCAAAACATTTCTAAGTTGGAAAATCTTTTGTATCTTAATCTACGTAACAGTCGCGAAGATAATAAGGGTTTGGAGTGTGAACAAGGTACTAAACTGTTTAACGTAGAAATCGAGTGGGGCCCTAACATGGAGCACAATTGGACATTAAGATCAGACTTAGATGTTGACTACATTGTACCGAAATGTCTACCTGCGAAGAAGGCGCTATCATTACGTTTAGAGAGCAATGTTTTCAAGACTATTCCAGATTGCATCAGACGTCTCTCTGGACTCATTAAGCTTGACGTCAAAAGATGCAGAATGCTCGAAGCACTTCCACCGCTTCCAGGCTCTCTTCTCTCTGTAGATGCTGAATACTGTGTATACCTGAAGAGAGTAGACTCTTCTTTCCAGAATCCAAACATTTGCCTAAACTTTGCTGGCTGCTTCAACCTGAATCGAAACGCGAAAGAGCTCATCCATACATCAGACTGCAAATATGCGATCCTACCGGGTGAAGAAGTGCCTGCACACTTCTCTTACCAAGCTACTTCGGGCTCCCTAACGATCAATCTGACTCCAAGACCTCTGCCTTCATCCTTGACCTTGAGATTCAAAGCTTGCATCTTGCTGTCAAATGGCGAAAATTTAGAGGAGGAAAAACTATGGATGGGTGGTGTGTCTTATCATGTCTTGGGTAAACAGAATGGCCTCACAATCCAATATGGATCAAATCAGCACCGTATGCGTTGTCCTTATGGCAGATATTTTGACCAATATTCAAAAAAAAAAAGAGAAGATCATCTGTATATATTTGAAGATTCTTTCTGTCTAAACCATGATTGCGCTGAAGCGGAAGAAGCCACTTTGAGCGAGCTTGAGTTCGAGTTCAAAGTCTTTTATGAAAAATGGAAGGTGAAAGCTTGTGGTGTACAGCTTTTAGAGGACAAAGAAGATTCTGGACGTGATGAGGAGGAAGATGATGAAGTTGGTGATGGTGATAATGATGGGGTTGAGGAGGATATACAGGATGATGAAGATAAAACTCAAGAAGGAGAAGAATCTAGAGGTGATGATGATGATGGAGAGACAAGGAGCACAACGAGTGAGGTTCATCCGTTCTGTAGGTATATGAAATTGCCATGTTGTTATATTTTGTAATTCTGTGCAATTTAATTTTCCAAGAAGAGAAGCTCAATTTAAATCCCCAGGGACGATCAGTCTGGGTTTTATTAAGGTTCCAAGAAAATAATTGGTTCTGGAAGTAGGCTCTTCGTGACCAATGAAAACAAATAGCTATTGAGAGCTCATGGCATCAAAGCTCTGAAGGTTTTTTTGAGGTCATCTATGTGAGAGATGAACAAATAATAGCAAGAATCATCGTTGCCTCAACCCATAACCAGTCTCAGTGAGGATATAGGAACACGTTTAGGAGTCGGTTACGATAGCTTACATGAGAAGGATAAGTTTTCATATACCTTCATATTGCGTGTTCATTCAGTGAGGATATATGAATGTTGGTTTACATGAGAATGATAAGTTCATATTGCGTGTTCATTCAGTGGTGATTATGTAAAGCAGTTGCTTGCAAGCGCTGTCTTGGATGTCAACTTTGGCTAGAAGTCGTAACTGTTTCCTACGCATCTTGGTGGTCAAGTAATGTTTAAGCCTTGCCTCCCTCCAAAAAGGCCTATTAATTTGAAAAATGCAATAATCCACACTTCATATAATTCATCTGTCACGTAAGTATGAACTTTAAACCTCGAAGCTCTATAAACGAATAGTCCAACCACGGATGTTGAGTGAAAAGTACACTCCCACGGATAGTAAGTCAATAGTCATCTATGATATATCTCGATTACCTCAAACTCACACGTTCCGTTGCTTCAGCTCGAAACATAGTTACAGCAGACGTTGACGGACAGTAACATTCACAGTAGACTATCAACTCAGCCACCAAGGAAGCATATTACATTCTTTTTCCAACTCTATCACGTATTGGAGAACAGGGAAAAGGCGGTTTCAGAAGGTGTGATTCCCGCTCTGACCAATATGATCAAATCAAGAATCTGATGTTATCTGTCTTGACAATGTTGTCCTTTCAGAACGGGGTTCTTGAAGAAATGGATGATATAAGGTTTATCGATGATGTGTTCGATATCTTGAGGAATCCAAGTTCTTCAAGGACTTCCGAGGTCGCTCTAGCGATGTTCACTCACGTGTGCTGCTTGAAAAGCACGGGTGGCAGAAAGGGGGTGATAGAACCACCAAAATAAGGTCTTGTTGATACATAAAAAAAAAAAATAGTTGTTTTTGATACATTATACTGTATAATTTATACATAATATACTGATCCAAAATTTGATTTGTGAATAGAATGATAGAAAGACAAGTTGTATAGGTTCTCTAAGAATGAATAAAGTGCCTAAAGAGGTGGTGGAATGTTGGCGAATACAGTGGATTTTATGCCCAACGAATTATTAATTTGACCATTAGCAAACTTTATCTAAGAAAGAAATTCTCTAGTAGCACCAAAACAATATTTTATCCAAACACGAGTACAAAATAATTATTTTTTTTTCTCAAAATTGCTTTTAGTGAAATATTTAAAAGGAGTTTTATATAATATTTTCATTTAGAATTTTCTTATTAGATTTTAGAGTTCAGTATTTAGGGAGGTGGGTGAAATAAAGGTTTGTAAGTTAAGTAATTTAGTTTTTTTTTGTAAAATGATTGCTATTTCAAGAATTTTTTTAGTACTAATTTATAATATATGTTTTTAATGTGATATTTAGGACATATCTATGTATATGTTATTCATCGAAAAAAAATTCATTAAACAAAAGAAATAATTAAGGGCAAAATCTGGATATTTTTCTAAAGCGTCACAAGAATCTAAATGTAATTTAATTACTTGGAAAAATGCATGACGTGGCAGGCTATATACACAGATGGCGTACGTAATGAAAACAAAAGGGATGAATAAGAGAAAAGAATGAACAAACACATAACTGAAAAGCTAACTGATAAAAAAAGATCGTTTCTTTTCTTCTTTGCTTCTCTCTCTCTCCATCTCTACTGCAAACAGAATTCTCGAGTGTCTAGAGCTTTCTCTTTACTTCTCTTCCTTCTACCTTCTCTGTATTCGAGACTCAAATTCTCCGGCAGAGATGGCGGATTCGACGACGGCAGCAGACGCCGTTACTCTGAAACGGGAGTTAAAGAAGATAATAACAGAGATGTTGTCGTACGGAGGAGGAAGCAAAGATTGCGACGGAGGTTCTGGAATCTTGATGAAAGCAATTGACGAAGCGAATAGGATCATCAACCGCCTCAGAGAAGTTGAACCGGAGACTGATATACTTTCTTCCCCGTCGCCGGAAAAGGTGGATGTGCCGAAAGAGTTTAAATGTACACTCTCCAAGAAGATCATGATCGAACCCGTCATCATAGCTTCTGGGCAGGTTTTAAAGTTCTTCTTCTTGACTAATTTTACTAATCTTTTTATTTGCAAGTATATGTATTCATTTACACATGCATGCACCCTTCTTTAACATTGCCAAGAAACTCCATGATTGTTTATTTGTATGCGTATAGTGTTATTATGTGTGCTCATATAACATAGTGTTAACTTTACTTTTCAGACTTATGAGAAAAGATACATCACAGAGTGGCTGAAGCATCAACGTACATGTCCAATAAGCAACCAAGTCCTCTCTCATTTAACCTTGACACCGAATATTTTGGTCGATGAGTTGATTACACAATGGTGTCTACTTCACAGATTTGAGCGGCCAAGATCATCAGAAGAGATAGTTACTGAGCTTTTCACTGATGGAATAGACTCATTGCTTCAACGGATCTCCTCTCCTTCCTCGGTTGCAGATCAGACAAAAGCTTCAGAAGAGCTTCGCAGACAGACCAAGAGATTCGCCAATGTCCGAGCCTTCTTTGTCTCTGCACTCCCTGGCTCCATCACACGGTTGCTCACTCCACTCACTTCTTTGAGCGAGGAGGTTGACTCGAACCTTGAACTTCAGGAGAATCTTATCACGACATTGTTCAACCTCTCGATCGTTGAGAAGAACAAAACAGTAATCGCTGAAACCCCTAAAGTGATCCCACTGCTTACAAAGTCTCTAAAGCAGGGGACAGCTGAGACGAGAAGAAACTCTGCAGCGACTTTGCTATCACTTTCAGCCATTGATTCTAATAAGCTCATCATCGGTAACTCGGAAACACTCAAGGCTCTGATAGGTTTAATCGGAGAAGGGGGTGTGTTCATCACCGAGGCCGCCTCTGCTGTTTTCAACATCTGTAGTGTGTCAGAGAACAGAGAAAAAGCAGTTTCAGCGGGTTTGATTCCTGTGATTGCCAATAAGATCAAAGAAGGAAGCAATGTGGCTGAGTTGTTAGCTCTCTTGGCATTGGTTTCTACACACAACCGGGCGGTTAAAGAAATGAATGATCTAGGGTTTATCAGTGATCTGTTGAGTATCTTGAGGAAACCGAGCTGTCCAGTGGCTCAGGAGAACGCTGTAGTGATCGTCTTTAACATGTGTGACAGAAACAGAGACAGGAGTGGAAGGCTGAAAATGTTGAACGACGAGGAAAATCAATACGGGACGTTTACGAAGCTTGCGAGGCAAGGATCAGATCGTGCAGTGAGGAAAGCAGAAGCGATTTTGAAGTGGCTTAAGCGACACGGTTCCGGTAAAGAGCCACAAAGGGGATGAGAAGGAACCACCAAAAATCTATGCTTGTTGATGCAGAAGATATAGTTTTGCAAACTTACTATTGGTACATACATAAAAGACTGATAGCTAGAAAAAAAAAGTTGTATATAATATAGTTTTCTCTGAGAAGGAAAATGTGCCTATAAAGTGCCTAGAAAAAAGAAAGTTGTATATAATATAGTTTTCGGTTAGTTGTATATAAACTGAGGCCTTGAGGGGTTGCAAGTAACGCTCTGTTTTTTTTTCCAGTGAATAGCATTCTAAACAGATGGCAGTGGCATTACTGTGAATACAGGTCGGGAGGCCTTGAGGGGTTGCAAGTAACGCTCTGTTTTTTTTCCAGTGAATAGCATTCTAAACAGATGGCAGTGGCATTACTGTGAATACAGGTCGGATGAATGGGTAATTTAAGGATATTATATAAGCGGCGGCGGCTAATATGGCCGGTCATAGTATCCTATACTAATCGAGTTGACTCCAATTAACCGAAAGCAACAAAAAGGATAAGTGTGAAAAAGCATTAAGATCATTGATTACTTTTTTTTGTTTCAAAAGATAATTCATTACTTGTTAAAAAGTTATTATGGTGGGGTTAACCAGCCGTAGTTAAGGTATTTATTGTGCGTGTCGGTTGTAATTAATTGAGCTAATGTGGTGCTAAAACTGGAAAAGAACGAAAAAGATGACTTCAAAAAAGTGACGATGTAACATGGAGAATCAAAACAATGTGTACACTTTGTACCAAAACCACGCTCAGGAATGACTATGACTGAGTATTATCCACCGTAGATTATTCCGTGTGATAATCAAATATCCAGAAAACGATGTGGGAGGCCAAGTATGATTTGTCAGTCTAAATCTAAACGCACCTACATTACGACTTTTTTCCCTGAGAATGAAGTATAAAAATGATCAATTAACTTTTTAGGACCGAAATACATTGCTTAATCATAACATGACTATCTATACAGTTTTATTCATTTTAGTACGAAAGAGCAGGCTCTGTTGGATATACAAATTAAGTAACATGATATTCTCGTATATAAATGGGTCACGGGAGCATCAAAATTCAATAGTGGCATGAGTGATATTTGACTCTATGGACAACGTTTATAGTGGCGTTGGTTAGGCCATCTGCCAATGACTTTTGTTACTTTCATTATAATGGGTTGATGTGTTATGTTACTAGTATGATTTTGGACGTTTTTTACCTAACTTAAGCCCAAGAATTCACACCTAGTTATGTATTTTCTTCTTAAGTAAAATTCTATCATCATATTCACATATGGAGTAGTATTATATTACATTGAATATGGGATCGATTTTTATTGAATGCAGCATTGAAAACATGAATTTCTTAATTCGCGGCACTATTTCCATGTTGGAATACTCAATAGTCGATACGAATTAGCTTGGTACCATATAGTATTACATACTGATTATAAAAAAAAATAGTATTACATACTACCAATATCACTTAAGATTATCTCAACTTTCATCCTTCAGTTAATATTATATATCACTTCATCGTTTGGTTATTGTTCCCGCTTTTCTCCCGTTTTTCTCAGTGACCAAATCTTGTTTCAAAATATAAACGAGACTTAACCAAACAATAGAAGTAAACTCAAAGAAAACGCTATTTCAACATGCAAATATCACTTTTCAGTAAATCTCATAAAAGGAAATCACACACAAAAAGAATGTTGAGAACCGACGTGACGAAAAAACTTTATAAAGTAGGATGCAACAAGACAACTGCAAAACCGATCGATAATCCTTTGTCAAGAGCAAAAGGACAACTACGCTATTACTTTGTTCCTCTTTTTCTATAAACCATGAGTATGCTCTCTCTTTTTCTGCCAAGCCACATATATATAACATATCATATATGTATATTAAATGAAATTAAATAACAAAATACAAATTACATTATTAATGATCCTACTTTTTCTTCTCCTTGACTTCATTCTTCCTTTTTTTAGTTCAAGATGCGCATGGAACCAAACATGCTAAAAAGCCAGACCTTCTCTTCTGCAATACCAATTTAATATTTTAAGATAATAATAATATTAACTAAAAACTTATTAAATAAACAGCTTAGCAAAATCATATTTTAAAATGATATTAAATACCATTCTTTTTTTTGGAAAAATATTAAATACCATTCTGTATCATGATCTTTTAAGCCTTACCCTTCTTGAAGAATAGATAAGCTCAGGAGGAATCTTGTAGAGATCCTCATCAACGGGCTTAGGTGGCCTCGAAGCCGGAGCCACGTCGTGCTTCACTCCGGTGACGTCTACATAATACTTGTCTGTCTGTGAACTGACGTCACGCACGCGCCTTTGTGGTCCCCTCTTTTCCTTAGTCCCCGCCGTCTACGGCAAGTCATTACCACAAAACAACGCGTTATACTTTAGATAATAACATTTTTCGAGATAATCAACAATAGTCAAACATTAATTAATTTAATAAACCTGTCTTGAAGGATGGGGGTGACGTGGACGGGTATGGTGAGAACCAAGCTTGAGGGCTTCTGCAGAAGAAGAAGAAGATGATGAAGTGGCTGTGGAAGAAGAAGAAGTAGTGAAGTGATTATGGTGACGAAGCAGACCAGCTTGTCTTGCATTCTCGAAGTATTGTGTTATTGGCATCTCATTTGCGTCCTCCCAATCTCCAAATCTTGGAATCTGACCGCTCTTCTTCTTGTAATTATTATCATATCTCCCCTGTGTCCCCCATTTATTTCACACAGTTAATTTACTCCTATTTATTAGTACATAAATATTACTATATGCTAACTAATATTACTATATGCTAATTAATTAGTACATAAAGAATAATCAAGTGTACTCAAGAACACCTTGATAATCATATATTCAGGACACAAGAATCAGGGATCGATTTAAGATTCAAGATTCAGGGATCGATTTAAGATTCAAGAATCAAGAACCCACAAGAAATAATGATTCAAGAACCATGAAGGGCCAAACATGTGACCAGGTTTGGCACTTAGTGGATATCCGTGTGGACACTATAAGTTAGAGAGAGAGAGACAAGGTTTTGAGTGAGGAAGAAACAGTATTAGGCAGGTATGGACGATGGATCTTGACGAAAATATAAACCATTTGCAAACAGAAAAAAGAGAACAAACTTTAAGGATGTTAAGAAACGACGACAGAAAGAACACAAGGATAGAGGATTAAAGAAGATCACTTACATGAGCCATGACGATTTCTCTCCTGTTTCTATCTCTCTCTCCAAGCACTAACACACAAAATAAGAAAGGCTCATCTCCAGAAAGGTTACTGTCTTTTTATAGCAAGAGTGGGGTATCTAGGCGAGAAAATAAATTGTCCTTTTCTTATTAATCAACAGTCAACTATGAAAGAGAGCGTGAGAGACAAAGTTTAACATTAGTAACTTTATTAAGATTATTTTTTTGAATAAAATATCTATAGTGGATGGTAGAGTCCCTTGTAAGTTTGTTTGATTGGAAAAATCAATTGGATAGATCTTAAATTAAAGTGTTTACGTTACCAAAAAAATTTACGTGATTATAGTTTTACTATTAGTTGCAGTTCAGTCTCCAAGATCATTGTATGAAAATTCAACGTAAGTTGTAAAAAATAAACATATTAGGATAGATAGAGAGTGTTGGGGAAGGTAGGAAAAAATGGAGAGAGCAAACACGTTAGTCTACAGCTTTTAGTTAAGTTTCGTCAGTGACACATTTGTTTTTACGTTACAGTCAATTTCAAAAACCTAACTTCTCCTTTGTTGACAAAGATGTCCACTTATTAAATTTATATAAATCAATAAGCATTTCATACTATAATGTCATATATGAATACGTATCTAACTATTTGTGTATTGCTATTATGTTTTTTACTATTGTGGTGATGATTGACTATTATATTGTCGGCCCTCTATTCACATGGAATTCCTGAATTTTTATGATGATAATAATGTTTAATTATTTCTAGCTGATATGAATACGTATCAATCACTTTGATGATTCCCTATTTTTTTTTTTTGATCAAATAAAAAAAAAAAAAAAAAAAATAGGGAATCATCAAAGTGATGATTCCCTATTTATTATCATCAGTTTCTAGCTTTTCATTATGTTCAATCAATGACCCTATTAATGAGTGAAACAGTCATGTTTTCCATTTGAGTGTGAATGAAATAAATATTCATAAATAAAACATTGAAATGGGTGTGAGCTGTTATATAGGATTGAATGAATTTCTTAAGTTCGGTTAATGTATATACCTTCTTGTACTCCTTGTAATTCCCTGTTTAAATTCTACAAAGATGTAAGTTTGAAAACCGAATACATTATTATTGGTCCAAACTGAAACCACACGTTGAGTTGCAGCCAGGCCTCGTGGAGTGTTATGCGGTCAGAAATAAACAAGGCTTGACTTTTCATTGTCGTTGACCAAATTGATATTTCCCAATGTGAAAATTAGAAAATACAAACCTTTTAATTCATTTGTCTATTTTCCTTATGATCTAATTTAAAAGAACCTATAAGCCATAATCATTGACCAAAATCACTGATCAATATTTAAATAAATAAGACTTATTCTGGAAAACCAAAATAAACCCATATTATTATTTTCAGGATTTTCTTTTTAAACTAGGTAGAGTTGTCATGTTACTCATGTTATGTACAGTATACATATATTGAGGAACCATAGTGAAAACTGCACTAGAACTAAAGGGGTTGAATACTAGTCTTTTAGTATACTAGACTTTTCACCCCTAGACAACCAATGAGTTAGTTATCTTAGCTACTGTTTTCTTCCAAAAACTAAAACTAACTATTGAACGAATATATTTTATACTGTAGTATTCCCTTTTTATTTGAGTTGTCGTTTAAGTTTTTAACACAAATTAGTAAAATATTTAATTTTACATATTTTTAAAATAAAAACACCATTATCTAAAAACCTAACCACATTTCAACCAATGAGAAAATAAAATGAAATATGAAATCAATAAAATTTGTATTAAAATTGTAAAAAGACATTTATTTTGAAACAAAAATTTTACTCTACGATGACAAAAAGTTATGTTTCGAAGTCAAATAAGATGCACGCTTACAAAAAAACGGTCTAAACTATTAATTAAAGCTTCGTCAATTGAACAAACTAATGGAGATTGTTTCAGTTACCAAAACTTAATCTTAATATGGCGTTACACTAGAAAGATGATAGCTTATTGATTTAAAAAAAAAAAAAGATAGCTTTAAAAAGACGGTAGCTGATGTGTCAAAAAATAATAAAGTACGTGGTTAATTGGCTTAAGCTTGACGATGACGGTGGAGAAGTTTTGGGAGTTTTGCAGCAGTCAAAGTTCACATCATAAAAGTCAAAACCTTTATTTTGGCTGCCATACTCCAACCAAATAATTTTGTCAGTTGTGTGCATTTATCTGTCGGCTCAGTATGATTTTCTTTCTCTATGCATTCATAACAAAAGTTGAAGCTACTACTTGATTCATATTTTAAGAAAATTTATTCTATAATACTAAGATGCTATACAAAAAAAAAATGAAATCCGCAAGCGTTTTTTAATCTAACACAAGCAATAATGTTTGGTACATTTGGTTTTTAATTATGTTTTAGACTTTTAGTTAACGAGGAATGACACTTCAGTTACTATTCTCCATATGTTCAGTCATTTTTCGTGTGTTTCTCAGTGGACAGTGGCTTTACCGGAGACGTGAATCTGGTTCACAAACTAAAACCAATCTTTGGGTTCAAGAAAATTAGTCTCTATGTGAGTAAGCAGCAAAATGCTCGCTCTTATATGCGTCGTCCTTGTCTTTTTTATATCTTTCTTTTTGGGTTACAAGAGCATCTGATGAGGCCACTATAAAAGAAGTTATGCATATTAGCATATAAACGTACCAGTATTACAATATATACTGTAAAAAAGGTCTCATGTTCACTCAACTCTATTAAGTCCAAAACCGTAAAAGAAAACTTATAAAAGGGAGGGGTAAATGAAAGTTACGTTAACGATCACGCGGTAATAATGTTTATCTGTTATCATTACTGGCGCCAATGTTGGATAAATGATGGAGTTGAGAAGCACGATTTCAGATCAAGCTCTATCTAAAGTCTAGTAACGGAGAATAGATCCACTCTTATGTGGCATAAGATATTATGGATCAAAAGACTTACATTTACCTGGCTCGTCATACTCAACCGTTGTTTTACTCGAGATTTGGATCCTTCATACTTCTGCGGCAGGCTAAGATTTATGAATAAAGGCAATCGACACTTAGTTCACCCTTTACTGTAGCTATTGCTGGGCTTTTTCCTTTCGAAGTTTGAGCTATTATTCACGTACACGAAAAATGGGCTGTTACTGGGTTACTATATTATGGGCTGACATCATCCTTTTGGGTTCTCTTTGTGGGTAATTTTACTAGAGGATTCCTAATTTTGTAAGAACAATGGTAACTTTGCTCCATACATGATTGCATCTAATTAATTTGAGAATGTTCCTAATTTTGTACGAACAATGGTAACTTTGCTCCATATTGCATGATTGCATCTAATTAATTTGTATTTTTTTGTCTGTTTTTTTTACATTAGAGGTAAAATATTAATTCAAATATATAATACAGTGTAAAAATTCGCTATATAACTTCATTTGGGAATAAAAAAACACTGCCTGGTAAATATATTCATAATACAAGCTTTCCATTTTTTGTAAACAAAACTCACAAATAGCTGTCCTACCAGTTTGGGAACTATATCTGTATCTATACAAATTCAGGTAACTACTATCCCAACACTAATATGCCCAGCTCTTATCTGCTACTTGCGTTAGGTGAGTCACTCAAACATATCTTCTTTTATATAAAAAGAAAGAATATCATTTTTTCTGATTGGACTAGTAGTATATATCAAGGTATACATTTTTTTTTGGACAAAAGAAGGAAGGGTATACATATATATCCTTTTCAAAGAGGAAAAGGAAGAAAATATAACAATCTTCTCAAACCCAAAACGTTTTGTTTATATATACAAGAAAACTCAAATACGTTTCAAGAAACTAAAAACGGTACGTTAACCGAATAATCGCGAGTTCCCCCTCAAAGTAGAAAGATGAACGCTGTGAGGTCGGCTTTAGGTGATATGGTGATAACCTTTTTTTGGGTTATTCTCTCGGCGACGTTTAGAATACAGACGGCGGCGATAATTTCTGCAGCCGGGTTTCATGGCATCACTTGGGTGCCTCCGGTGATTACCACGGTGGTTGTTTTCTTCTCTATCTCGGTTTTCTCGGTTATTGGAAACTTTCTTGGTGGCGCTAGCTTCAACCCTTGTGGAAACGCTGCGTTTTATACCGCCGGCGTTTCTAGAGATTCTCTCTTCTCCTTGGCTATTAGATCTCCGGCTCAGGTATACACTTTATGTTCTTACTAGCTTTTGATACCGAATAAAAAGAGTATAATTAATAGTTGTGACATCTTTTCCTATGAGTGTTCGAATAAGCATCTATTATAAAGTATGATCCTTCCACGTTTTTATTTAATTTGATTACATTTGTTTACTGTTCGTTCAGTGTGTTGGTTAACAGTCTATTGAGAGCATGAACAGAAAACATATCTTATTTCGTTGGTTGGTTTATGTGAAGTTTCTAACGTGTGTGCGACACGTGTGATTTGTTAAATGATAGGAATAACACATAGATACTAACGATACAAACGTTATTTTATTTTTCCTGTCAACGATAGAAATGTTCTTAATTGGAGAATTTTTTTGCGCGACTGGAACCCGCTGGCGTGTTTTTTTTTTCCTACATATATATTTTGAATGTATTTTTATATTATAATAAAGTTTTTGGCGCTTTTAACAATTTTGTTAATAACGCTATTTACTATTTCGCCCATTTATAAACGTTATTCTTTCCTGTCTTCCTTTGATGTCATCTGCCCCACTTTGTAATACTGATCACTATTTGAACATGAACACCATTTAACCTGATTACAATTCAAAAACCACATATGAAATATCATCTCAACTTTTTTTATTCTCCTTGTTCTTGATTCTAGTTCATCACACTTTTATGCTCAACAAACTTTACTTCTCATTTTTAAAATCATTTAAAGGGGAAAAAATAATGATTGATGTGATCTCAGGCACTTGGTGCAGCTGGGGGTGCGATAACGATAATGGAGATGATACCAGAAAACTATAAAACTAGGGTTGGAGGGCGCCCTTCATTCAGAGTTGATGCACACAGTGGAGCTATTTCAGAAGTGATTCTAAGTTTTTGTGTTACGTTTCTGGTATTGCTAATTATCCTAAGAGGCCCTCGGAAACTGCTCGCTAAAACATTCTTGCTCGCTATGGCTACCGTCTCAGTGTTCATGGCAGGATCTAAATTCACTAGACCATTCATGAATCCTGCCATTGTAAGCTCATTATATTAATCCTACTCAATAATTTTATAAGTTCTACAAACTATGAATCTTGATAGTCTTGGCTCGTGGATGCAGGCATTTGGGTGGGCATATATAAACAAGTCACACAACACATGGAACCATTTCTATGTGTATTGGGTCAGCTCCCTCACCGGAGCTATATTGTCTGGGATGCTCTTTCGGAGTCTATTTCCGCAGCCACTTCCGGTCCAGATAAAACAGAAGAAAGCTTGATTAAATAAGAAAAAACATAAGTCAAGTTTTCATGAATTATTATCTCTTTGTTGTAGTCGTACATATCTCTTTATCGCCATTTGTACTTTGTAGAATCATGTCCTCTATTTTGTTCTGAATGAATGGACTCATGTCTAAAATTGAATGAAAAACAGGTATTTTTTAGTGCTATTGAATTAAACAAACTCAATTAATACTTTCCAAACCAAACGGAAACATTTGAATTCATACGAACGACTTAGGACACCTAATTTTTAGCATTGCATGCAAAACTATCCACATTTGTATTATATATTCGTCGAACATGGATAATCACCGTATGACTTAAACTCGCCTTTAAAATATACATATATTTTTCAAATATGTTGCAGAAAAAATTATTATCATATCTTCCAAATACATATGTTGCAAATAGAGATTGCTAATGTGGTGGAAGCCCTATTGATTCAGTGGTTTGAATAATGGTTCCTTAATGCTTATACACTAGGAAGTCTAGGTTTCAGTCCCCCGCGAAAACGATTTATTAAACAATTATACAAGTTACAAAATCTGTCTTATCGTAACATAAATCGAATCGTCTATGTATTTTTTCTTATATTTCTAATATCATAATAAATTAGCGTAAAATAAGAAAAAAGGATTGTTAATGTAAAAACATTAAGCTTATAAATATTTGTTTTTACCTCACCTTGTAAAAAGTTGAAATGGCATATGCTACATCCGAGGAAAATGCTGCAAGTGCACCAAAACCATTAGAAGGAGAGGATGCATATGTCAGAGAAATGTATCTGAAGGGACGGAAGTATTTCCTCTATGTTCACAGGTTGGTCAGTTGTTATGGTTTCCTTTGTTTTTCATGTTTCTTCAAATTTCTTCTTCCTTTCATGCTAAACACACAACTTTTTTATAGTAAAAATAGCTTAATATGAGATGATATTTCCATCGCCTTGCTTGTGGTTATCTACATTACGGATTACTGGCTGCCCGAGCAGAGATTTTGAAAGTTTCTGAAGATTCAAACAACCCCTGCATCGATCGTGACAGGCTATGATGGTGAGAGAAAATTATTTATCATGAAATCTTTTTCTTTCCAGCTAGACTTCTTTGCATTTATCCTCACTTTATGACACATGTTTTCATTATTGCCATTATCAGATTGGATTTTTAATTTTCCATTTCTTGTTCCTGACATATTTTATTCGCTGTAGGTACTTATAAGTATGGAGGAGAAGAGTTTAAAGCCGCTGCGTTGCAATCTGGCGCGAGTCTTGATGAGTGCCGGAGGTTAACAAACAACGCACTCAAAGTGAATGATACACTGTGCACATACATGAAATGCACATTTGGTGGAGTATGGAATGGTGGTCGAGGAGGTGGCCAAAAGAATATGTTCGTTGCTTCTTTTTTCTTTGATCATGCTGCTGAGGTAAGCCAACAAAAAGACACCTGTTAGAACATGTTTACACACCAACCTGTGTGTTTCTTTGTTAAACTCGGAGACAATGGGCTTGGTTCTGTGCACAGGCTGGATTCGTGGACTCGAAGCAACCTTTAGCTACAGTTCGTCCAAGAGAATTTGAGAAAGCAGCAAAGAAAGCTTGTAGTGTGAAGATGGAGGAGGGAAAATCCAAGTTCCCACGTGTGGAGGAAGATAATTTGCCTTACTTGTGCATGGATCTCGTTTACCAATTTACTCTGCTCGTTGATGGATTCGGTAAGTATTTCACATTTTAATCCTTTTCATCGGTCACGGTTGTGCACAACTTATTTGTAGGTTAAGTATATATATGACCTGGACTAAATGACTAAAACACATAAATAGATAAGAGTGGAGAAGTGTTAGACATTAAGATTGTATGATGCGTTACTTCCAGTGCTACCATGAGTATCATAAAGCACTAGAAACATGTAAGGAACAAAAAGTTACATTTTTGATGATATGATTATCAGTGTGTATATTCATTTTCTACTTTACTTTTGGGCATAAAATAAAAATAGGATTGGCGCCATCACAAACAATAACATTAGTGAAGAAGGTGAAATACGGAGAGCATGCCGTGGAAGCTGCCTGGCCATTGGGTAGCGCCATTGAGGCCGTCCCCTCACCGTGACAGGGCACTTTGAATTACACACATCATTCTTTTTATTTCACTAGCAAACATTTATTATTTCCAATTTTTTTATACTGTTCCCCCCCCCCCCCAAAAAAATATCATTCTACTAAAAGAAACTGTATTTTTATTGTAATGTTAAGAAATTAGAGAAACTTGCTATTATTAGTGATATAATGATGATTATTGTTTGATAAAGCATATTAAAGAAAATCTACAATGGTATATGACAATCTATTGTAGATTTGGCTCATATACATTTGAATAAAATTGTATCAGCTTGACCAAATTTAGTAATGTAATGGAGAAATACCAATTCGTACATAGAGAATGAACTGATGTGTTTAATTTTCAGTTGTGGTGTTTCGCTAATCCACGTGGAGACTGAAGTCCAATTATTGTCGTCTGTAGCTGGTGTCCTTGGAAAGATATGCAGTTACTTGTCTTGCACACAACAAATGGTGAATCATCCTTTTATTTAGCCCGAATTATAAAAGTATATATTACCAAAATTTAGTAGATATTATCATTGTGTATATAGAAAAGGGTTTCTTTAACATTGAAATTTTTATATATATAACTAAAAATTTATATAAATGAAATACAAGATAAAATGACCTAGTATCTGGGCTGAGTTGCCACATATGGCCCAAACTGTAAAAGAACATTATCAACACAAAAAAATTAAGCAACGGATTATATAAATTCCGATGGGCGAAGTTCAAAATTTTCCACAAAAAGATATATTATTTAAACTGATTTGGAGAACCATGAATAGAAAATATACAGCTTATTTGCAATTTCTCCTCCTTTTCGTTTGGCAATTTTTTTCTTTTGAGTATCAAGAGGTTCAAAACGAAACACATAATACCTTAAATCCGAAATTACTCGAAAAAACTTTTACACAATGGTCAGAGTCTTTTCGAGTTGAGCTAATGACCTTTGGTCTTTTGGCATCATTTTGGCTAAATCATTTATAAGATGAGCTATTTTTAATATGATGTTTAAATATTAGTAATTGGTTAAATCATTTGATGCTGTTTTTTACACAAAAATACATGTATGATCAATATCCAGGAAAAGGAGCATATTTTGAAGCTTCATGGTGAAGGTAAGTTTCATTTTTTCAATGAATTATTGGGGAATCATTTGAATTTTAACAAGTCGAATAAAGAAACCCAATAATATTAATTTGTCTATAAAATGAGGACATATGACACATTTGCTTTCAATGGAGAATCGTGTGGGTTTACTTTCAGAAATTGATAAGACTGCTCCTTGATGAATCGATCACCAGTGTATCCACTTTTTCCAATAATTCGACTGGAGACTAAAAACCTTTCGAATTATTGTTATATTGGAGGTTTTGTAATTATAAAGTCGCTGGAACAACTGATCTTTAGGTTAAAATATATGTTGCGATATGTGAATTGCAGTGATCATGAGCTTAAACTCTGGCATATATATTGAAAAGAAAGAAAGCAACGGAACTTGTATCGTTCTATTATACGTTTCAGACTAAGGAGACGATTATTTTTTTATTTGTAATGATTGTTAGTTTCTTTAAATCAATGCTTAAGTTGTTAGTGGAGTTTTGTTCAAAATAGAACAAAATGAGTTTGAACCAAAGAAAAATAAAAGAAAGTTCAGAGAACACGCATAAATAAGTGACATGCATTGATTGGTGAGCTAGATAATTTCCTGGATGTGACACTTACTTATAACCCATGCATTACCTAAAAAAATTGAACTGTGGGAATTTAATACTTTGTTTACTTCAGCTGCTGGTCTTATTAAGCTCATCCACAAGCAAGTCAGAAACCGTATTTCAAATCTGAAAACAAGGGAGAATCCAGTCTATCGGAAGGTCATGGTAACTTGGTTCTCTTTTAGATAATAAAATTCTGATGCAAAGTGAGTACTTTTGGTTTTGCTTAAAAACAAGAAGAGCTATGCTATAAAAGGGATCTGATTGTAACTTCTATCACTTGGATTCAATTCAAGCTGCGAGTTATTATTATTATGCATGGATTTTTGTCAAAAAGGTGAAATCACATTTTTTACACCCAAAAAGAACTATGCAGTAAAAAAGTTTTTTGGTTGAATTATTTAATATTCTTAAAAAACCTTTCTTACCTCATTTTGTTTACCGTCAATCAGTGTATATGCACACAACACATGTGTATTTTTATCATTTGTTGTGACAAGATTTGATTTCGATGCAGCAATGCTTAATGCTTTGAGATTGTATACGTTTATCCACGTATGTGTGTGCGGCGTTTAGAAATTACATCTATAGTTGTCTTGTAATGGGGGAGCAATTACACGGAAGATGGAATAAGTCGTTTTCTAATTTACATTGATTTTTGAAGTTAATTTGAGTCGTAAGACTTTGATTAATTAAATAAAGAATTGTGATAGTTGACAAAAAAACAAAAAAAATTGTGATAAAATCGACAATGTAATAGAAAAAAAATTTCTCTGTAAACTATGTTATTTTATGTCACAATTTTGTAAATCGTTCACATTATATTAATTAGGTTTAAACCCTTTTTAGGTATGAAGATCTCCAAACCATAATCTTATGCTATTGTTTGCACGTATAGACGCATAGTTAATCAATTATGTATATACGTGTTTATGATACAATGTATACACGTAAATGTATACTTCTCCAAAATATGTTAGCACTAATCATCTTTATCCACCACTAATAGATGCGTATGCAATCATTTTGAATAATATTTTCCGTGTATTTGGGTTGTAGCTCAATCCATACATGAAACAATATATTTATGGATAGCGCGAACCAGTTCCATGTTTTCAAATTGTGAAATAAAAAGAGTTTCGAGTCTTTTGACTGATGTGTGCAATTGAGGCTAAATTAAGCATAACAACTTTAAATTTGTTTTCCCTATGCTTTTCTTTTTAGAATTCTAAAACTATATAATGGTATCAGAATGATCGAAATAATCGAATTATTGATTTAACATACTTATATTATATGGGTGGAAAAACAAAATTCAAAATTGCCACAAAGGAATCATGTTATATT